AGAGCTCTGGAGTACAGCCCACGAATATGCCCATGGCCCTGATGCAGGCAGGACCCACCCTTCAGGAAGTCCTGTGGAAGAGGGACTGACAGGAGACATCTGCCCTATGGGGGGCTGTCCCCACCTTCTCAGTACCACCTAAGACATCTTAAATGACCAGGCAGATATCAGCCTCTGATTATTTCCCACCTTTTCTAGGAACACGTAGGCAGACTACCATTCCAAGGTGGCATGAGAAGAGAGGCTGTGAGAAGAGAGGCGAGTGTAAGGGCAGGAGGAGGGAGTTGCAAGTTGCTCGGATCTGCTTCCCTCACCCCTTAATGGGGGCAGCGGGTGCCTGGGGAAAGGCAGGCTAGGAACCAGGCACACCTCTGATGAGCCCCAGCTCCACCTCCAAACAGCTGTGTCACCAGTAAATCACTCTCACCCTCAGCCTTAGCTCCAGCACCTATAAAACAGGGCAACTGCAAAAGCAACTCATCCTAGGAGACCAGCTGAATACTCTCAGGCTGCAAAACACCTAGAAACAGTGGAGAGAAAACGCCCCATGCGTTAGCTTCTCCATCTGTTAAATGAGGATGTTAATATTACCTGAGTCACGGGGTAGTTGTGAAGACTGAGTCCAAACCGGTAAAGTGCTTAGAACGATCAGAGAAAATGCCGCACAGAAAGAGAAAGGAAATACATGACAGTGATGGAGGCAATGCATGTGCAAGCCAGAGAGCAATTCTAGACAAAACAGCCTTTTGTCTAGAATTTTCTAGAAATGAACATAGACATGAGTCCTCAGAGTTAGAAAGTGCAAAATACAATAGAAAAGATAGAATGAGATATCAAACATCTGAGCCCGTATAGATCCTGACACACAGTAGGCCCAGATAAATCCTGGATCCTTTCCTCCCCAGCCCACAGTGGTCTCCTTCCCATCTCTCAGCTGCTTCTACCCCAGCCGGCTGTGCCTGCCCTGCCCACACCCTCCCAGGACTTTCCAAATCCCGCTCCTCTGTACCCCACAAAGCACACAGCAGAACTGGGAGCCCCTCCCCTGGAGGTGAGTGGGGTGCACAGCGGCCTGGCCTGATGGTCCACAGCACAGACATGCTGCTATAGGAGGCCAGGGAGGGAAGGGCAAGGTCAATCAGACCCCTCGGGGGTGCGAGGACCAAGGGAAGCCCAGATGGGTGTGAGACCTTTACAGAGAGAGAGCTAACGTGGGGGGACAAGGTGTGGACAGAGAAGAGAGCCAGGTTCAGGGAAGGTGCAGTCTCCAGCTCTTTGACAGCTGGTAGGATGAGGCTGAGGGGGGGAGGGGCTAGAGAAGGGGGAGGGGCTAGAGGAAAGCAGCTTCAACTCAAGCTAAGGGGTATCCCAGCGGCCAGGTAGAAAGGAGCCCACTTCTCAGGCGGTGAAGAGGCCGGAAGGAAGTGGTGACTAGGGCTGGGATCCAAAGCTCAGGTTACAGGAGGAGCAAGCCTGGCCCGGGAGGCACACCCACGAGCACTGAGGGAGCACTGGTGACGCGCACCAGGTGACCTGCCTGGGTAAGGTGAGAACCAGCCTGTAACTGAGCTCTGCCCAGCCCAGTCTCTACAGGCTCTCCCGCTCTGCAGCGAGACACCTGTGGCTGCTCCACTGCCACCCCCCTGGGCCCAGGGCCCGGGCCTGCGCACAGGGAGGCCTTGAGGGGAGCCCATTCCACTCCTGGGGCCAGGGGCTTGGAGAAGGCCCTACCCCTGTCACTCTCGTCTGTTAGGTAGGAAGTGTGTTTTACTTCCTTCCACATCCTCTAGTGGCAGGCAGTCCTTTCCCTAAAACTTATTCTTCTCTACATATAAAGGCAATATGTCCATCACAGAACATTCACAAAATGCAGAGCAGTGTCTTCTAACACACATTTGCAGCTTGTTTTCTTTCCTTCCACTTTTTTCTGTGCACATATGCACATTTAAGATAACTGGCATCTGACTATATACAGAGTTTAGGGTCTTCCCCCCACCCGCCCAGTTCACATTATACATGAGAATTTTCCAGTCTCAATTCAAGCATAGAACGAAATTTTATACACCACTCCTAATAGCAACAGAAACTGCATTCTATAGCTGCAACAAAATTTATGGGAGAAACTTCGTGGTGCTGGTTGTTTAGGCCACTTCAGAGTGTTTGCTGTCTCACATGAGAGCCGCATCCTGTACAACTGCAACACCCACCAACACCCGCCCCCTCTGAATCACGGCCAGCCGTGGGCTGTCTGGCATGGCTGGGCATGGGACCGTGTGTCCCTTGCTGCTCTCGGACTGTCACAGAGGCCGTCTAGTCTTAGGTCCAGGACCCCACTGCACCTTACACACAGCAGCTGCCCAATACGTGCTGACTGTTTCAGCCCCAGGCCACTCAGACTGCATGGGCCTCACGAGGCCCATTTTCCAGGGGTCAGGATGGCAGGTACCCAGACTAGTGGCCATTTGACATTTTGCTTCTTCTCTAAGCACTTAAGAGGTAAGAAGGCCCCTAATGTTATCACCCAGCCCTAACTTTAAAGACTCCATCACCTCCACGACACATGAAAGACTGAAGTGTCAGCCTCACCCAAGGGATTAGAGCTTCACTGTGCTTGTGACCCTGGTGATCCTGAACCACCTGCCCCCACTCCAGGGCAGCACGGCAGGGACAGGGCCCTGGCTCTGGCGTCAGACAGGCAGGATTCCAATCCCGGGTCCTGTGGTGATCTGGCTGGGTGGCCAGAGTCTGGCTTGGGTTCCTCAGAGGGCACAACCCTGGGCACTGCCGTGGAGCTGGTCACAGCACTCCTACCCTGCTCACACTGCTCGCTCCAGGAAGAGTATCCAGCCTTCAGCTCACAGAAATCCCCACTTGGCCTGCAGAGGCAACTGAACTTGCCATCTCTGGTCCACAGACACTGAAATCTAGGCTCCTAGACTCGACATGGCCTTCCAGGCCCTCCACTTGCAGGATGCCACCCCTCACCAGCTCCCCATGCCACAGAGGCTGTGCTGCAGTGGCCCCTCCCCACTACGGTGCTGCCCTGCCCCTTCCTGGGACACCTGCCTCCTTTCCCCTGCCTCGGGAAGTCCTTTCTCAAACAGCGCCTCCCCAGGAGGTCAGAACTCCGCTGTCCCTCCCCTGCTGCCTCTCCACCTTGCCCCCTTCGCACGTCTGGAGGAGTCCGAGCTGCATGTGTGTCCCTCTGCCCCATGACACTCTAAAGTAGGGGTGGTTATTCACCGCAGAGATTTGTCGATTTGCACTCCCCATTCAGAGGCAGGGCAGACACCCAGGCAAGCCCCAGCTGGCTGACACATAGAGGAGGTATCTTGTGGTGGGACTGGAGTCGGGCAGGGGCTTAGTTCCACACCTCATGCCCTTGGGGATGGGAAAAAAAAATGAAAAATAACAACTGCCATTTATCGAGTTACCTACATGCCAGGCACCTTACAGATACTACAATTACTCCTAATCACCTCGATGAGGAAGACACAGTTACACGCCTACTTTATAGATGAAGAAACTGAGGCTCAGGGAGGTTAAGTAACCTGCCGAGATAGCAGGCTGGTAGGTGGCAGAGTGGGGATTCAAATCCAGGCTTGTGTGCCCCCAAGCCTGGCTCTCAACCACCACATGAGTGGTGAAGAGCCTCGAGCACTAGGGTGAGTACAACCATATCAGTGACCAGCACCAGGTTCCAGCTGAAGGCTCCCCACAGAGACTTCCCTCCAAAATCAACAGCAGTTGTCAAATTATTTGCTGATAGAGGAGATGCTTCTCTTACCGTAGCTCAATTCGGCAAATGCCTCCACATGCTAATAAAGTACCTGACACTGCACCAGTTCTTGGTGGGGGGGGGGGCAAAAGACCTGAGGATCATCGTCCCCTAGGGACACTGAATGGGTGCTACTGAAGAGGAAGGGAGCAACGAGTGGACAGGGTAGGACGGAAGGCTTCCTGGAAGAAGCAGTGACCAAGTTCATCTGGAAGGATGAGTGTCCCTCCACTTCCTGGGCCACCACCCTCTGACCCAGAAGCCTACATTCCAGATACACCCTGGTCAACAGCTACTCGAAGAAATGCTCTGCCTTCCCAGTCACTGGGTCTTTGCTCAGGCAGCAACCTCCATGGAAATGCTCCTCCGTGAGACAGACAGACAGACACAGACACACACAGGCACACACATCCCTACCTACCTGAGAAGTTTCTCCCTGTGTACCAAAGGCCCAGCAAACCCCAATCTGTCCATCTGCACAATCACCTGCAAGGCTGGCCGGCGTTCCCCTCCTCTGGGTCCCCACAACACGCCTGTGGCTATAAGGTGCCATTCACATCCAGTGAGTCACACACACACACACACAATCACACTGCATACCCCGCTAATCCTTTCACGTGGCAAGGTAGTCAATCCAGCAGATATTTATTTATGCTATGACCAGTTCAAAGCAAAAAATATATAAGCTACAATTCAAGTAAAACAGTGGAATGAAAAAGGGCCTCCTGGAAGGAGACCCAGAAAAAGCTACCTTTGCCTTTGACTCCTCATGCCCTCCTCTCCGAAGACCACAGCTAGCCAAGCCTGGCAGGGCACCCCCGCAGGGAAGCTGTGAAAATTCAGTAGGCAACACCCAGCCACCACCACAGGCCCGAGGATGGGACGACTCAGCATTGCCAGCTTCGTCACGCCATCCACGCATGGCACAGACACCCTCAGAGTCCTCGGCAATCCATTAGCGGGCAGACGACTCCCAGTGGGAGGAACCCCTCACTCAGTGCTTTTCAGACCTCTCTGACTGTGACCCATAGCAAGCCTTACGATAGTCCACAGGATACACGCAAACTAAACACAACTGCAGTACAAGTTCGGTGATACCCTGCTCGTCACGACGAGGGCAAACTGATACTGTCTCTTTCATCTTCTTCCTACTTCATTTCCGGACCGATTTCACAAATACTTCCGGGGGCCCTGCAGTTGGAAAGCCACGCCCCTCACTCACCCAGGGTGTCAGAGCCGCTCTCCACCGTCTCATTGACCTTCCTCGCAACTCTGGCCACCGCCTCACCCATTTTCCTCAGCATGCAGACGTGGGTGTCCTGCTGCCAGCCACAAGGCCGGTCTGCTGCTCACAAGGGGGCCTGCACCTGGGGAAGACACAGCAGCATGAATCGCCTGCCCACCGGCCAGGGACTCCCCTCTGAATCCACCCTTCCCAGGGACCCAAACTGCTGGAAGCCTCGAGGGACAGTCTCAAGCCACTCACCTCCTCCTGAGGGGATGCCAAGCCCAGGCCACATCCAGCTGATCTGCCCATCAGAGGATGGAGGCAACCTGGCCCTACTAGTTTCCTAGGAGGATCGACACGTGTGACCTCACCAGACACAGGGCCAGGGCCTGACCCAGTGGCCAGGCCGGTGTGAGAACTTGGGTGTGTGCTGGCCTGTGATTCACTTAACAGGCAGGGCAGCAGGAGGAGGTGGGGCACAGCCAACTGCAAGGAAGGGACACTTGTCCCTCCGCCCCACAGCCTACGCACTGGTGCCCTCTCCGCCACCCTCCAGGACAATTCCTCCCACTCCGGGTTTGCCTTACCCACTTCTGCCAGGCTCTGCCAGTATGCCTGGTCAGAGCTCACAGTCTGGCAGGTTGGTTGGTCTCTAAGAATTCCCTTCCCAAGTATTAGTATAGAGGAAAGTTACCTGTTTAGCCTGCAGACCTGTTTATCAACCTGATGCTGAATTTATCTGCAAGACCCCAGGGGAAAAGGGGATAGGGTAGGGAAATGAGAGAAAGGAAATTGAATTACTAGAGAGAAGAGGCTTAGAGAAGGGTGAAGAGCACAACAAAAAATTATAAGGTGTTAAAGATAAGGAACACTAGAAATGCTGCCAATTCCATTTATTACAGGGAAGGAAACTGAGGCATAGAGAGGGACTAAATGACTGCCCAAGGTCAAAGTGAGTAAGTGGCAATAATCAGCTCAGCTCCTCTCCACACTCAGTGCTCACTTCTTTACCAGTCACCCACATCACCACTGGCAGCACCCCTCAGGGAAAAGGAACTTGAGGCCAAGGTCAATGCCACACTTCACCCCCATCTAATCCCAGGCTTGCACACAACTCAAAGAGCTCAAATGAACTCAATATGAGGGTCAAAGGCAGAAGAATGTGAGGGGCAGAGAAAAAGGAAGTAAGGATAGAGCTCAGAGCTGGGCATGTACTCAGCTTGACAGGCAGGGCAGTGAAGGCCAAGCTGGGCCCTGGCCAAGCCCACCCATCTGCTCAGGGGAGAGTTAGCGGTGAGTTCACTATGTGTGTGCATCTCACCAAGGAGACTGACATTAAAGGTGTGAAACACACGGTGCAGTGGGAAAACACTGTTTTTTTAACACAGGCCTAATGCCTAACTCTGCTATTTGTTAGTTGAGAAGCCTTGGCAATGTGTCTTAACTACTCTGAATCCATTCCTTCATCTGAAGAGATCTAATAATAATTTCACTGGGTTCATACAAAGATTAAACAAAATATGTATACCTTTCTAGCCCAGAGCCCAGGACACACAGGTACTCAATAAATGCAAATTGAGAAGATAAGGCAATACACATGCAGGCATCTAATCCCAGTTTCATGCCCATGTGACTTTGAACAAACAACTCAGTGGAACTCATCTTTAAGGAATGAGTAGAATTTTCATCTCTCCACCTCCAGGAAGTCTTCCCTGTTTGCCTCAGCCCTCAGTGTTCTTTCCTTCTGAGTTTCAGAAGCACTTTATGCCCTAGCACAAGCCAACTGGGTTGTTAATAAGCTTTTTTAAATTATACACATTTTTCTCCTCAGTTAGTCTGCAGGAAAGCAGATCTATACTGTGCTTTCCACCCGCACTTTACACCACACACTGAAAACAGACACCCAGCTAGCATTCCCCAATGGTGATGATGATTAACAGCCATCATTTGAGTTTCAAATCTAAATACAAGTCAACTTACTCTTATGACAAATCTAAGGCACTGTCTAATTGAGAAAGGTCATAAATTCAAATGCCAACAGTGCCAGGTATACAATGTGCAGCAGGTGAGTTGTGGCAGGACAGTAGGGAATGGTGAGAACCACTGCAAACTAGACCCAACACCTTCACCACGCTACCTTTCAGACATCCCCCCAAGCCTGAGTCACAGCAATGTGCTGGAATCCTCATGACTTAGTCTAACCCCAGAGCCCTTCCTTCCTTGGAGGGAGGGAGGGAGGGAGGGAAGGAGGGAAGGAAGGAAGGAAGGAAGGAAGGAAGGAAGGAAGGAAGGAAGGGAGGGAGGGAAGGGCCCCAGGACCCAAGAGGGGAAGTAAATCAGATAGATGCAAACAAAAAACCTGCCTCTTCTGACTCCTAAACCAGGTCTTCCTACCATACCATGCTCCTTCCTTTCCCCATCTCCAATATTTATCATCAGAAATCACAAACACGAATTGGACACCTACCAGGTACAGAGCATAAAATGAAGAGGAAAGAAATACAGGAAATAGCTCTGACTTGTGATTTTGATGAGGAAGAGCTTTCTAAGAAACATCACAGAGGCCATCCTGGCCTCTCAGCTGAGGAGAAAAAGAAGGTAAATCTCCAACCTGCCCAGGGTCTATGCTAACCCTAGTGGGATAGTCTAAACTGATCTTTCAGACGCTATGCCTGCAATTCTTCTAGCTGCCACCAGGTGGGAGCGGTTGTGCCTTAGGTAGTATAACCTATTGATGAAAACTAGTCATTAAAAATCTCACCATTGCTGGCAAGCAAATCTCACCATTGCTAGCAAGCTCAGACACCCTATTGTATGGGTCAGAGAATACATATTGAAGCAGGAACAGGAGCAAATTGTAAAGTCTGTGAGTTGGAGCAAGTAACTAGGAGGAGGGGCTCCTTATGTTCCAGAGGAAGTTCAAGGGTACAGCACAGATATGCCATAGCCCCCCAAGAGGTTCCTGCTGCCCAACCTCACTAACCAGCTAGGAAACCACCCTCCCTTGTAAAGCTACCTAAAACTACCTCTCCCTCCAAGGGAGAGTTCCTTTACAAAGTTCAGCTGACAATCTCTCTCCCAGGTCAGATGATGAAGATCTGTCACTCTGTCATAGGCAGGGCTGTGAGATAGGAGGGTGGCAGGGCCACATGTGGTATAAGACCCAAGACAAGGTAAGAGGGCTCCAAAACTGAGGGCAGAACAAACTTGGGATGATGGGATTCTAGACTGTGTCCCCAAAAGGAATCCTACACGGTTGTCCAACCTCACTGAGTGCTTCTTTCAGCAACACAGGGCCTCTCTGGTAAAAAGGCAAGAACTTATTTAGCATGTAACAGGAGCCCAGAGAGAAGAGAGGTTTGAGAAGGGAACAAAAAAAAAACCTTGAGGCATCTGGTCAACCCCACAAGCAGGGGGCGGTAGCAGAAAGAGCATCCCAAAGGGGAGAAACAGGAACCACCAGCCCACATGGGTCTGGTCCAGCCTTGGGTACCCAAATCTGATGGCTCTGCTGGCCTCAGCTGCTCCCAGGCACTAGAGAGCAGCCTTAGAAATTTCAGGAAAAGCACTCCAAATCCTGGAGATCCTTGAGCACAGGGTCCAAACTCATACTCACACTGCTGCTGTCCCAGCAACACAACCCTCTCCTCACAGCCCCAGCTCCACTTTCCTCAGAGTGTGCAGCAAGTCTTTACATCCAACAAACACATACAGGGCACCTCCTACAAGGACTACAGCTACACGCTTTTGGGAAGTAAAAGTACAGAGACAGGGTATGGGCCAGAATAAGCATCCCATTGGGTAAGAGAGACTCAGTGACAGGAGGCAGAATGAGTCTGACGCTAGCAGAGCAATGACACTGGGCCGAGGAGTATGCATGCCCTCTGCCATGAAGGAACATGGCGTGGCTGGGAAGAGGGAACAGAATGAGGGGCTGAGCAGAGGTACCCAAAACGATGAAAGAAAGAGGAAGACAGGCAGCCAGTCTGTCCCCAGAAGGGGGTTGAAAGCCCTTCTGTAAATCTGTCCTCTGTTTCTCTGCAAAGAGCTCTGGAGAGATTTTTGAGGACAGCAGATTAAACCAACTAACGTTTTGGAAAGTTATCAGTGTTGTGAGCAGTCCCATTTGTAAAATTAATATGTCATCTTCCTCAGTGGGTTGTTTTAAATGGTAAATGACATATAACTTCTGAGAAAGGTCTTTTGCAAACTGTTAAGCACTTCTCACACAAGGTATTACCAATAGATTATTAAACAGGTACAGTAAATTAGAATAAACTGGGTGCCAGGGGAAAAAAAGGTGCCCTGCTTTATGAGAGCTGGCAACACGCCCCCCCCCCCCCCACCTATAACCTCATTTCACCTGCACAGGAGGCTGGGAGAAGGGACATTTTTGCTCAAACCCTGACAGTAGCCCCCTGCCATGGCTCCCGCCCTCACCAGCAAGAACTCTACCTTATCTTGAGCCCCAAGATCTGTGCAAAGGAGCTGCTGCGACACGCCGTCCACACCAGCTGCTCCTATATTTAGTTACTGGTGTAGTCACTCAGGAACTTTAGAGCCTGGCAGCCGCTTGGAAGAGCAACCCGAGCCTCCTGAGCCATGCGTGAAAGCTCCCCCAACGTTGGCTCCAGCGGGTCTTCTGGACCACACCAATGGCACAGCTGATGGGGAGGTGAGAGTTGGTGGGCTGGACAGGACCCAAGTAGCCCAGAAGGCCCACTTGAAGCCAGAACACAGTTGACCCAGTTTTCCCAGGGAAAGGAGCCCGCTGGGGAGTGAGCAGAAACGGCTGGCGCCTTGTTTTTGAGGCATGGGGTTCACAGCGTCTGCGCGTGCTTCCCTATAGGCATTTAAGCTTCCTCGAGCTGTGCCTCCCAGGACTGAGCAAGGTGGCCAGGCTAGGGTCCCCTCGCGTGTCGCAAGGGGCCCGCCTCACCAGCCTACCCCCCACCCCCCACGCCCGCAGCCAATGGTTCCTCGTCGCGCCCGCTCTCTCGGCAGGCGGGGACTGGAGAGAATAAAGCAGACAGAGGAAATAATGCTATGATCAATCTCAGAGGGCCGGGGACTCCCGTGCCTTCCAGGGGCCGAGAGGCACACCCTGGGGCACGCGTCTGTCGTTTCCCAGAGCACAAGCAAACACCGAAAGTGTCACTTCACTTCAGGGATGAAGTACACAACAGCTTGTCGCCGCAGGGGTGCCTCCCTCAGGGAATGGAGGCCCGCCCAGGACTGCTTCCTCGAGCTCCCCATTCCCTGGCACTGCTGCCCCCACTCCCCCGGAACCAGCCCTAGTCCAGCTGCAGTCTGCGAGCATGAGCCGGAGTGACGCTGGGCCCCTGGGCTCGGCAGATGCCGCAGCTGGTGCACCGCTGCTCTTTGCACCAGGTGACCTGGGGGAGGGGAGGGTACGCTGCAGAAAAGGGGACACTTCTCTCCCTCTCTCCCCCAGCCCCTCCAGCGCTTAGCCTCAGACTACGTTTACTTTGCGGGGCATGAAGCTTGGGGCCCGGATCCGGGAGGCTTTCTGCTACACTTACGGCGACAATGCCTCCTAGCGCCCTGCGCAGCGCAGTCACGCTCCCTCGGCCGCCGGCGGCGCCCCATGCAACAGCAGCATGTTTGAGCCGGCAGGGAGGGGCGTGTGGGCCTGGGCCCTGAGCGCTCGGCCGCCCGGCCAATCGCTGCGCAAGGACAGGCTCCGGGGCGGGAGGAGGCTGCAGGCCGGAGCCGCGCGCAACTCAGTGGCGCGCGGGTGTCTTCACGCCGCGCCCCGGAGCGGTGCGCGGAAGGGCGGCCGCGCGCCCTTGTGGGTGGATCCGCTTTGTGTGCGGCTTCTGGAGGGAAAACGCTTGGGAGGGCAGGGTGTAGACGGCAACGTAGGACTGAGACTGAGTTGAATTAGCCGGATCCGGGTACTCTTGAGAAATGTGAAAATGGGAATAGGAAACTTTTCACGTGATAGCTTCAGGCGCCCACTCAGGTTTTTAGAGACAATAAGTCTGGCTACACTAAGTTACTTCACCTCTCTGAATCCCGATGTTCTCATCCGTAAAATCGGAATTAAATATATAAATACCTACTTCGCAGGGTCGTTGAGAGGATGTTGAAGTCGCGCAGCATGATAGCTCAGGGAAGGGAAGGTGCTTCACAGGTCTTCATTTATGGAGGACTCACCACATGCCCACTAGCAGTTTCTATGGGGAAGATGAAAGAAATCAGGCCCCTGACTCAACCAGTGAGGACGGCCAGCGAGTCAAATGCTCTAATAAACAGAAACGCATTAAATGAGTGGGAGTCCTGAAGGAAGAACATTTAATCCTGCCTCTGGGAACTGGGGCAGTGAGATAAGGAACACGTCCCCTTGGGGATAGATGGATGTTATGGGTCAAATTGTGTCTCCCCCAAAAGATAGGTTGAAGTCTTAACCCCAAGTATCTAAGGACATGACTTTTTTTGCAAATAGGGTCAGTGCAGACATAAGATAAAGTCATACTGGAACATGTAGGGGGTGACTGGTGAGACACATGGACAGAGATGTGTCATGTGACAATGGAGGCAGAGATTGCAGTGATGCTTCTACAAATCGAGGAACCCCAAGGATCATAGCCAAGGACCACATGCTGGGAAGAAGCAAGGAACAGATTCTGCCTCACAGCATCCAAAAAGGAGGCAACTCTGCGAACACCTTGATTTCAGGCTGCTAGCCTCCAGAACAGTGAGGGAATACATTTCTCTTGTTTTAGGCCAGCCAGCTTGTGGCAATTTCTCACAACAGCCATAGAAAACTAATACAATTGGGTGAGCAGGGCTAAAGGGAAGGCAATTAGAAACATCTCCAAAGAAAGTGTTTCAAAACTAAATGCCTACCTGGCCAGGTAGTTCAGTTGGTCAGAGTGTCATCCCAGTATGCCAAGGTTGCGGGTTCAATCCCCAGTCAGGGAACATACAAGAATCAACTAATAAATGCATAAATAAGTAGGAAAACAAATTGATGTTTCCGGCTCTCTCTCTCTCATCAATTAAGAAAAACACCCTGAATATCTAGTGTAGGCAAGGCCCTGTGTCTTGCGGTATATACACCAAGATGAATCAGACACAGACCTGCCCTCAAGCAGTTATCACTCATGAGGCTGCCTGAGCAGCCATGTTTTCTGATTCCTTCCCAGGAATACTATGGAAACCTTTTCCCAAACTCATCATCCCTGAATCTCTGCAACATATATACCAGGTACCACATATAAATAATAAATGGATCAAGTCCTGTTATGCCCAAGCCAAGATCCTTATTATTCTAGACAAAGCAGAACCTGCTACTTCTGTTTCACTTAAAACCAGCCTTAATTTCTGGCCAGTGTCTACAGGTGGATGTCTTACCTTCCCTGCCAGGCCATGCACAGACCTGAGAGAGCCAGTACAGTGCTCCTGTGCACGTGGTCAGGGCCCAGTAGATACCACTGACCGATGGCCCCAGTCTGGGGTGCTCCACATCCATGCTTTCCCTTACTCAGTGCCCTCACCCAGGAATTTCACCCTGGCCCCTCCAACTCCACAAAGACAAGACTCCTCTCCAACTCAAGTGCCACTTCTATTCCTAGCGTGTGTGGTTCACCAGAGCACTTACAGCATCATGCCCTTATTGTGCCATCTCTGCACACCTTTTCTCCCAAGGCTTGCCTGATTTCAAATAGACCAGAGCTTGGCACATGGTAAGTGCTTACATCAGTCAGCAATTTTTCTCCTGGATAATAAGATACCCCTAAACTTAGAAGTGGCTTAAAACAATAACTACTTAGTTCATGATTTTATGGCTCAGCATTTTAGGTTGGGTCCAGCTGGGCACTTGTTCTGGCCCAGCTGGACTCCCACATGCATCTGGGCTCAGTGGCTAGGCAGCCAGAGGCCTCTGCTTTTGGAAGTGGCTGACTGTCAACTGAGGTAAGTGAGCCACGTCTCTCATCCACCAGCAGGCTAGCCCAGGCTGGCTCATATCAAGATTCAGAGTTCCAATAACAAGTGTGGAATCAGATAAGGTCTCTTAAGGTCGAGGCTCAAAACTGGCACTACATCTCTTCCATAGTTGTATTGGCTACACCAAGTCACAAGTCCAACCCAGGTCCAAGGGTGGGGAAATAGATTCCATGTTCTGATGGCAGGAACATCAAAGTCACATTGCAAGGAACATGGATATAGGGATGGGTAGAAAATTGAAGCTGGTTTTGCAATCTATTGCAGTGCTCAGTAAATATTCTCACAATTCCTACTGGGTGCTCAGTAAATATTTATTGACAATTCTGAGGTTTTCAATGATGATGTTTACAGATTTCATTGAATACAACCAATTGGCAAAATTTTATCTCTTACAAAACATCCATTGCCACCTTTAGTTTCAGAATAACAAAGGAGGGGCCTGGAAAGACAGAGCTGTGCAAGGGGAAGCCACATTAGGGATTCTCAGCTGGCCCAGGGAGGTTTCTCTGAAGAAATGCAGAGCATCTTTGGAGGCCTGGGCTCCTTAGGGCCCTGGTCCCACTCACCTCAGCTGGAAGCCATATACCCTTCACTTATAAAAGAAAGAGGCTTAGATGCACACAGGCCCTGTTGACGCCTGAAAGCCCTGCAAACTGCCCACCAAATGGGAACCTCTTCTTAAATGACAAAACTGTTATCTGCCTGTTTCCTGGTGGGTTTACCCCTAGCTGAGAGAGATAAACTCCCAGGGCCCTTGTGGAAGGGTCCCTATCCTATGAGCAGAGAGAGCAGCTCTCTTCAATGACTGAGAGCTCTGAGAGGGACCCTTCCCATCGAACAATGACTAGAATCAGTACCAAGGCCTGTCAGTGGAGGGGGCAGGGGAAGGGCTGAGAAGGGCTATCAGGTTTGCTGATTTGAAAATTGTTCATGAACATGTCTTGAGCCTCAACTAGGTGACGATAACAAAACACTAACAACACATAGCCACTTAGTATGCATCGGGTACTGTTCTAGGCATTGTACGGTCTACTCATTTAATCCTCAGGACAGCTCTCGCCATTCTACATGTCCCTCCCTGACATGGGCCTACTGATCTCAGGCTCTAACCACAGTGGAAATGAGATACAATTTGTGGCCACTTTATCCTTCCCCTGGGCAGAGTCCTTCATGGGCTCACCTTCTCTCTTCCAAGCCTTTCTGGATGTGCAAATCCCTCTGGGTCCTCCAGTTAAGCCTCTGTTTTCCCTTTAAGGACTCCCAATCGAGACACCTCAGTGCCCACCAAACAGTGTATCTCACTCAGCCTGAGGGAACCTCTCATTTTCTTCTACTGGGTCTGAACAGCCGGAACTTCCTGCCCTAGAAATACAAGCATCCCTTTAAATTTTTAGATGCTCAAAAGACACAAAAAGCTCTTTGAAGACAGTGAGCGGGTCTTATTCATCCTAGAATCTCCCTCTGATGCCCAGCACAGTACTTGCATCTAGAACCAGATCGGTGTTTTCCAGTTTATTAGTCATTACCCGTTAGCAGGTTGAGAAGTCAACTTAGTGACTATATTAGTTATCTATGGCTGTATAAGGAATTATCCAAAACTTAGTGGCGAAAAACATTTTCTGCACCATGGTTTATAGTGGTCAGGAATCTAGGCAAGGCCTAGCTGGGTCCTTTGGCTCTGACTTTCTCACAGTGTCTCGAGGCTTGGCTGGGAAGAATTCTCTGCCTAGTTCACTCACTGGTCACTAGCAGGATTCAGTTCTCCTGGGCTGATGATACCACAAGGCCTCACAACCTGTCGACAAGAGGCCTCCCTCAGGTCTTTGCCAGGTGGGTCTTTCCATTGAGCTCCCTTCAGCAAGGCAGCTTGCTTTACCTGAGAGCAGGCACAACAAGGGCAGGAAGGGACCATGAGGCCCAGAAGAGACCAGTGTCTAGAAACGCAAGGGGGGAGAAAGGGTCGAGAAAAAGAGAACAGTCAGATGAGGACCAGAAAGCGTCCACTGAATGTGACATCAAAGCAGCTTCTGTGCAATGCAGACCAAACTAAAGTGGCAGAAGAGTGAATGAATGGGAATGAGAGAACAACCAGCAAGTGAGTGCAGACAACTCCTTCAGGATGCATAGCTGGAACCGAAGGAGGAAAACATGGCCAGAGCTAGGAAGGGCCTTAGGGAGGACCCTAGGGAGGGATGTTTAAACTTATAGAGACTGGGGCATGTTTAAACTCTAATGCTAAAAACTCAGGGGACACAGTTGGACACAGGAAAACACAGGCCTAAACTCTGAAGCCCCTCAACCTTGTTTTTATAGCACACAGTGGAGCCTTCTGGATAACCCCATGTCTTATTCTGCTCAGGTGGCCATAACAAAATACCATAGACCGGGTGTCTTCAACCATAGGAATTTATTTTCTCATAGTTCTGGAGGTGGGGAGTTCAACACGAAGGTGCTCAGTGATCTGGTATCTGGTGAGGTCTCTGTTCCCAGCTTGCAGATGGCCACCTTCTTGCCGTGTCCTCACATGCTGAAGAGAGATCTCTGGTACCTCTTCCTCTCCTTATAAAGGGCCTAGCCCCATTGGACTAGGGCTCTACTCTTATGACCTCTTCTTTACTCTTTACTCTTTTAACCTTA